CCAGCCCCAGGTCAGAGTGCACTGCAAACGTATTGATTCGTGTCAGACCTCATGCTCGAAAAAGGCATGTTACAAATCGCTTGCATTCCGTTTTATCGACGTCTGGAATCAAATGCTGAAATCAACAAGCCCATATCCTCCTGTAACTACAAAATAGGAAAAAAGATAAAAAGCTCTTTCTTTTTTTCCCCTGGCCACTCGAGATTCAAGAAGAGGGTTTGGGATATGAGTGCATCTGTTACGGGCTGCGCGCGTGGAATCGCAACCTTTGCCAGATAAACCAAAACCCCAAACCAGAAAGCCTTCGTCGAGTTCCGAGTCCAGGCCCAAGGCCCCCAAAGCCTCAAAACTAGCAACACATATGGCTCTGGCTCATCTAAATCAGGTCGTCTCATAGATGGCGCTCGCGTTGAGCGTTGAATGGAAGCCGAACTGTAGACGCAAAAGCTTCAGCTTCTGAAACCGCAACCCTCATAGAAACACTGAGAAAAATCTCTTCTGAACGCAGCAAGCCCTTCCTGCCCTGCCCTCCCTTCCTCTCTTGTTGGACACCCTGCCTAGCCTGATGATGGTGCAATTTGTGACATCATGGAATCAGGGACTTGCCGAGTATGTGCCGAAGGCACTTGAGATGCCATCGAAAGCGGGAGCCCCAAAAACCCAAATCTGACCCTGCCAAGCCCTAACCCCTAACCCTAAAACCCTAAACTCCCAAGCAATGCGAGAGGGAAAAAAAACCCTAAACCGAGAATGTGGTCTTGCGAAGTAAGAGGCAAAAATCGAAATCTGATGCCTCCCCCTTTCGTTTCGGAGGCCCTGCAGCTAGCCATGGCTCTGCGGCGCCCAGCGGAGTTGCTGGGCGGAGGTTTTCGGGGGCATCTGCTTCCAATCTGTAGGTTGTCTTGAGGTTGTCCAGTAAAGGGTTGGGTGGGGCTCCTTGTGAAAGTGTTGTTGGTGTTTGTGTGGTTCCTGCGGGCCGGCTTCTTCGAAGTTTCGGCTCTTTTGTAATATGCCGTTACAAAGGAGTTCGGAATACCTATACCAATTCTTTTACACTGGATTCCGTATTATACATGTATTTTATATACATATTTCGAGCAAGCCGCAAACGAATGCCATGGGTGTAGGGAAACACGGGCTCGCGGTTGCGAGTTTGTAGGACATGGGCTCGAGCGCTCCAGTACGAGAGTTCTGGTTTCAGGGCTCTTCTCAAGATCGGGGTCGGAGTTCGGAATCATACGGTTGATGATATAAATCCTGCGTTACCCATAGTAAGGAATATACCATAATTCCAATAGTTTCGGGTCCTGCGGTGCGACATGTTCAGCTGGGCGGGTGGCAAAAAAAGGTAGTGCAGGATTTTTATATATATATATATATATATATATATATATATATATATATCATCATCAACAGTATTGGTCTACTGCACAGGCCTGAATAGGTGACAATTTCCCTGGCAGTCCTTGTCTGGTTTAATTGCTACAAGCCGAGCAGAACCTCCCGGCGTAGTGGGATTGCACGCTCCGCCTTATCGGTGGACCGAGAGTTATAGCCATTGGAGACAAGCTGCTCAAAACAAACAACTTTATATGGGAAATCATTCAGGCAAGTTGGATCTGTGATCCCGCGCACGTACTATTCTGCTTGATGCTCGTGATGCGGCAGAGATCGCCTACCCGCCAAGATTGGCTTCAAGCCTCTATCTATCTCCTTACCTGCCTTCCTACCTACCGACCTATGTAACACTACCCACTCATTCATCCATCCATCCATCCATCCATCCAGCCCCGCCGGCCAGCCAGCCATCCATCCAGCTATCCATCTATCACCCGTTCATTCATCTATCTACCTATCGATTGATCTATCTCTCTATCCTGTCCTTCCACACCCATGCATCCATCAACCCATTTATCTATTGGTCTACTTACCTATCGAGTAACTAGATATATACGGGGTTTATCGGTCTATCGATCTTTGGGTTGGCGTCGAACTATCTTTCCAATCTATATATATATATATATGTCTATATAGCTGTCTGTTTATCTTTCTATCTAGCTATCTACCTACCTATCTATGTATCTATCTGTCGATGTATCTATCCGTCGACCTGTGAATATGTGTATAATATACCTACCTACCTGCCTATCACCTATCTGTCTAATCACGCACGAGTCCGTCTGTCCATCCATCTGTCCATCTGTCCAACTACCAATCCACGTATCGATCTCTCTATGTATCTGTCCAGCTATATCTCTGTCTGTTTTCTGTCTGTCTATCTAGCTAATTATCTATCGACCAATTTACTTCTCTTCTATCTATCTGTTTATCTTTTGATCTGTACGTTTGTCCATCTATCTAGCTAATTCTCGAACGATCTGTTCGGTTATCTGTCTATATCTATCTATCTGTCTGTCTATCCAACTGTTTATCAGTCTGTCTGTCTACCAATCAAGCGCCTATCTACCTATAGTTTGTGGTTACGTAGCACAACACTGGTCCCATTCCAGAAGCCTGAGGCCCAGCGTGGTGCATCCAGGGTCCCTACTCCTGGCAGCACCGCCGTCACGGTGGTTGGGCCTCCGCCGGGACCAGCATAATGAGTGAATTACTGCGTCTTAGAGGTGTGTGAGTAACGCCCGAAACCCTATGCCGTTTTCACGCAGCCTTACGTAAATGATCGTACATGCACAAGCCGACAGTAAGACACAGAGAGAGAGAGAGAGAGAGGGTTTCGAAGGGTTTTGAACTTTTTCAGTGCATGAGTGTGGATCTGCCAGAGTGTTTGGATGTTGTGTGGCTCTAGGCTGACCTTCCCTTGGTACAACCCTGAGCGTCAAAATCCTAGTTTTTATTCGAATTTCCATCAAACCTTAAGCAAATCCCGCCAAGCAGGAAGCCGATATTATGTCCACGGCTTAGGGCCGTAACTTTACGAATCTTCAGATATGGCCTGCTTCTGGCACTGCACCCATCAAAGGTCCCTAGCTCCCCAAAATCCAACCCCCAAAAGAGTACTGCTTGTCTAGTTGTGAGTGCTGAAGCTGCTGCTGCTGCTGCTGCTGCTGCTGGCGGTGCTATGCGCACCATGTCCCCCCCCCTCCTTCGAGTCAGGCAGACCTGGCACCTGAAGCCGAAAGCCCGAAAGGGCTCCTAAACCCTGGGACCAGAAACACCCTTTGCAGGCCTTTCGCAAGACCTCCCTGGCCCTGATCCAACGCAGCCGTAACCCTGAAAGCCGGAAAGCCCTGGAGCTTCTTTCTCCAAAACCAAAAACCATGGCGCAGAAAATCTGTGTCGTAACTAGGCCCGACACTACGGAGCCTCACAGCCTTAATGCCGTAAGGTTTGTAGGGTATCGGGCGCTAAGCCCCAGGAGAGGTCAAGCACCGCTCTGGAGCTGTTTAGCCCACTCGATGTGGCAACCTGGGAGCGCTTGAGACCCGACCCCCTAAGCCCAAAGAGTCCTTCGGAGGTTTCCGTGTAGAGGATTTCTGCTTGAGGCCTGTGGGGCTATGCATGTAAACCCTGCTTGCGGGTCAATTGAGCCTGTGGCAACTGTGATTTCTATTTCCACTGAAATCGGCAGTGATTCCCTCTGACCCCAACCACCCTGCTATGCGGGCTCGCCCAAGCGAAGTGGGAGGCAACAAACGCGAGAGCGACTGCCAACAAAACGCTAAATCGTACTTGAAATGGTACGGTGTCAGCCCAAACGGGTTGCAAGGAACGAGCTTCTCAGGGCTTCAGGAAGCTCTCAAGAACTTTAGCAAGGCTTCAACTCCAAGGACCATCATTCAGGGTCCTTGAGGTCTGCCTTTTGGGGGCTTCCCTGCTTCGGCTTCGGGTCCTTCCAAGGCCCGTAGAGAAGATTGCTTGTACGGAAATTCGAGTCGCAACGCAGTAACCAAGTAAACAAATCTTCAGACCATTTCAAAGATGCAAGGCCTGCAAGAAGACCATTAGAGTCTCCAGAAGAAGTTCTCCGGAGCTCCGCGAAACCCGAACCAACCCCCTGAGCCCTTAGCCTGGGGCGTGGGGAGTTGGTGAGCTTCGACTTGAGCAAAACACTTCTCGGACGGTGACCACACATCGGATACACAATTCCAGCCCATGTGACTCCTGGATTCCCCTTCATCGAACCTACCAACTTCGGCGCCTGCAAAGAGGCCCGGCATGCAGCAGAACAGCTCCAGAAGTATCTCTCCTGCCACGCGCATTTCCAGATCCTTGGCTTCAAAGCTCTATAACCGAGTGGACATTTCTGAGCCCTGAAAGCTTTGAGCCCTGAGCCCTGAGCCTCAAAATCCCAAAGACCCCAAACCCTTGCAAGATCAAAGCTTTGTTCCAAGCAAGGAACATCTTGCCTGCATAGGTCGAAGATAGCTTAAGTGATTAAATGCCAACTTGCATGTCGTCAAGCTCTCACTTTTGCTGTGTTTTGTAAGCCCAAGCCCGAACCAAACGCCAGACCCCTGAAACGCTTTTGCAACAGGCTTGCTGGGTTCACGCCTGGGTATGTGCTCTCAAGGGACATGCACGATTGTAAAACCCAACATGTAGCACCCACTTTGCAAATCAGGTTGAGTAGCTGTTGGTGGGTCATGTGGGGTAATGCGGTGCCCAGAAGCCCAACCCTGAACCTTGAATTCTACACCCTGAGGCGTTCTAGGTTTAGGCCTTCCAGGGTCTTTGGCCGACAGCCCCTGATGGCATAGCGATGCAAGTTATGGCATTTCTGTATAGCCCGACTAAGTTTCATATGTTCCGAAGGGCTCCTTAAACCTATACACTTCCATATATAGCACAATGCCCTCTCCTTGTTATTGTTTCATATGTTGTTGGCGCACCCGCTTGACTCCTGGGCCACTCTTGCCTAGAGTTCCGTATCTTTACCATACTACAATGTACCCCAACACTCAGAGACTCTGTTCCAATCTTCGGGCCTTAAAGTGAGGCCAGCCGGGAAAGCTGAGATCGCCACTGGTCTTTGTTGGATACTGCCCCAATACTCATAATATGGATATACGTTTCTGTATGGGGGCAGTAATTATTTACCCTAGATCTAGGGTTTGTGGCTATAGGGTTTCGGGCTTGGGGTTCTGGGTGTAGGGTTCCGGGATGAGTTCGTGACAGTTTTTGGATGTGTTCCAGGGTTTAACGTAATTTGTGGCTTCCGCGTGACTTTCGTACGGCTTGCGGTCTGCCAAAAGGGTTCCTCGGAAGCTTAAGAAAGCAGCAAGCTGCTGGTACAGTTGCAATTGGTGCTCATGTCGGTGTCGCGAGCATTCTCGGCGACTTGAGCGGCGGTTTCTGAGAGCCCCAAGACCACGAGTGGAAAGCTGGCTCAGGTTCTCAACCGTCCTTAGGAAGCTGTTGGAAGATGTTCGAGCCTAGCAAAATCAGTGTTTCTCAAATGAGACCCTTCGTCACTCCGCAGCCCGAGCTGCCGACAGGCTTCGCTCCGATGCTCCTCGATAGCTCGAAGCCCTAGGCTGTGATACCGAAGAAATCCGAAGAGTTTCAACCTCCGAGAATCTGAACCCGAGCTCCCCTCCCTTCTTTTTCCCCTGCCTCCCCTTCATCCCATCTCCCTCCCCTCCCATCCCCCCCCTCTCTCCTCCCTCAAAGCAAAGCAAGAGCACGCCCTTTTGCTGCAACTTCCCACCGTCGGCTTTGTAACAAATCCTCCTCGATGGCGGGCTGAAGGTCCGAAGCCAGACGGTGATCATTGTCCGCACCCAAACAGTCTGCGAGGTAGTGCCCGAAATAGTTCCCACATGGAGCCTCTGTGTTGTCGCTATAACACAATACAAGCAGTTACAAATGGCAAACCCGGAAGACGCGAACTCCCCGCGCCCAGAAAAGCAAAGACACACTACAGATCGTACGAACAACTCGTATACTAATGATCCGCATCATGAGGCCAAAGAAGCAATGCAACAGCACACGCGCAAGCGCGTGATACCGAAAGGTGGTCCACGAGCGTCTTGCGGAGCGGTTTGCTGCCGCTGTAGCCGTTCAGAGAGTCGGCGCGAAGTCCCCCACGACGCCGAGCCTAGTCCCTTCGGCTGCGCACAGCCTTTGAGGCTTAATTTCTTTAATGTTTCAGGCTTTAGGGTGCTGACGAGCACGTGTTTGGGAGCTGTAGTAGTTATTGTGGTCTGCAGAATGAGAATTTCAAGGAGCGGAGTTCGTTGTTCAGGGTTCATGGTTGGGTGGCTGTGGCGAAAGAGGTTTTGTGATTGTGTTGGGCAGTAGTTCCAGTTCTGCTTGCCAGAAACTTTACACCCGATCTTATCTTGAGGAGTCCTGTCAAGTTTACGTACAGGCCCTCTGGTTGGCTTCCTCTACGCCCGCCATTTGCTAATGACCTACAATCCTCACGGAGGCTCCGATGTGTGACTTTGCCCTCTGCCCTCGGCATACCAGGTACGGTTGTGTTATTTTCTGCGGTTTTTGTATGCCGTCGTAGGAAGTCTTGGACACCGAGTGAGTCTCACGCCCTGTCTTTCAGCCCACCAGCAGCCTCAACCGGTTCGCTTGCCTCGGCAATGCTTCGTTTAAAGCATGAGCTATGCTGCGTGCAGAGGCTTTCCATGGCGCTCCCGGGCAGGACTGCTCGGAAGGGTCCGGCTCCACTTTGGTTTCAGGCAAAAGCATCGTGGATTAGACCCGGTACTTAAAACGACACCTGAAGATGGAACAAGGGTCGAGGCTGAGTTGGTTTGAGCGACGTCGAGCCACAAGGGCTCATGTTTCCTTATGGAGTTCGGAGGTGTGGCCAGGCCCCCATCTTTGTGAGAGCTTGTGTGCATGATGGAGCTCAGGGTGTTGATTTCTAATGGGGCCCTTGATAATTACCAGTACTATTTTGGGGGGTTACTTATTCTAACTATAGCATAGTATATCCCCAAGACCCTATAGTTTGATTCTTAAGGCCCCTACACTATAGATTCCTTCTAGGGCCCTGGAGGGGAACCCTTTGAAGGGAACCCTATTAAAACTATTAAGGCCCCTATACATTAGTCCATGTTTGGCCTCTAGCATAGGGTTGTCTTCACGGGTGCTTCGATGTCTTCGGGGCCCGAACTCTCTACTCCCAGGCTGCTGATGACTCGTAGCACGAGCGTCGCGAAGAGGCCCGAACTACGAAAAGGGCCCGCGTATTATATTTACCTATACTAGTTTGGGGGGGTTCCTTATCTTATACTATGATGAGCCCCTCTTTTCATCACCCAAACCCAAGACCGCACAAACTCTTAACTCAGAAAACCCTCATGCCTGACACCCGAAGCAGCCGAAGCCCTTCGCTTCTCCGTTGAGCATCTTATGAGGATGTGCTGCGCAGCATCTGTCGCCGAGGGTTCCTCATGCCTGGGGATTGGATTGACCCGTGGCTGGCGGATTTGTAGAATTCAGAGCCTTCACTTGTCGAGGCTTACAATAGGCTGCATTTGGCAGGTGATGCATTTGTAGCACAGCGACGCCGGTATCAAAACTATAGCTGCTTGTCTATTCTAGCCTCATCTCGCAGTCAACTCGAATCAAAGTTGACCTAACCTTACTTACTATGATACGGTTAATACCAGGCGGAAATATGGAGTATGGTGTAATATGTAGAACACGATGCAATACATTTCAGTATCAGATGAGAGTACAATACAACAGAATACAACATGATGACATAGTATACTAGCTTGATACAATGCGATCTACTACCAAAAAAGAATTTGAATCGGTTGGCAATTCTGACAGGATTGTTTTTACTGTTTCGACAGTTACAATACATTTACACCTTTGTCATTGCAATATCATATCACTCATAGCATATCATACCATATCTATAATCCGACCAAGTCGGATCAGATCATGTCTTAATCATATCGGATAGTCTCGTACAGTAAGGCAAAACACAGTACAGTAAATTACAGCATAATAAAGGAAAGCCCAGCATCGCACAGCAAAGTCTTTAATACAGTGTACTACAGTGAGCAAAGCACAGCATAGCGTAGCATATAGGCCAGCATAGTAGAGTTGAGTAGCGTAGAGGATGATCTGATATCACATGACATGATGTGTCACATCATGGGTACATTCAAGTTGCTGGCTTTAATTGGTACATGTCAGACCAAAAGGCTACCGCTCCAGCATGCAAGTTCATGCCTCAAACAGCTCTCAAAACCTGACATAACTGGCCGACAGCCTTCCAGCTTTGCCCAAGGAAGGCACCCCGGACTTTCTCTCCATGGAGCATGGAAACGTGAAAGGCCCGGCTTATCCTGAGAGCGAAGCGCTTTGCTGCTTCGTCCCGTGAAACCGGACAACACGAGACCTCCAACCCGACACTTTGAAGCATGAATCTCGTTCAGGGCTCCTCCCAAAACCAAACCGGAGACCTGCGGAAATCTACAGAAGGCTCTTGGAGACAGGGTTCATGAGTTTGGGGCTCCAAGTCCCACCACTCCTTGCCCTGCCCATCCTTTGAGACCGGGAATGAAAATTTGTGAGGGCTTCGGGCTTGGAATTTGGTGCGAGTTGTTGGGCGAGGAGTTCTTTGTCTTTTGGGGCCATTTCGGCGGCCGGTCGTACGCCGCCCCATCCGATTCTGGGTTCTGCGACCCAGAGCCAGAGCGGAAGTCCACAAAGCCAAGCGCCCACCATTGCCCACCCTCAGACCTGAGTGAAAGGCACGTGGGAGTTTCCGAAAATTAGGGGAACCTCATGTTGGGGGGTCCTTATAGTAGGGATCCTACTATTTAGGTATTTTGGGGGACCCCTATTTATGGAAACTCCCACATAAATTTTCGACTCCCCGAGGCTATGAAGACGGGCGGCTACGCTCTCGCACTGCATGGAGAATAGAGGAACTCGAGTATATGATCCCTTGATAATGTAGGACCCCGAACCCCAAATCCTTACGGCAGAGAGAGCGAGAGAGAGAGAGAGAGAGAGAGAAACCCCAAACCCTAAGTAGGAACTGCTTCGTCCTTGCCAAGTAGGAGGGAAAAAAAGTAGGAACTGCTTACGTATAGGAACCATGTTAAAGTATATAGGACCCTAAACCCTAATTAGGGCTTACATGGGAGCCCTGAAGGCATGGGTGTCTACACATCCCCATGCCTGGACACCGCGGCGCGCTACTCCGGTGAGGGGCTCGGGGCCTGATAGATTCGAGTTGGGCGGTTGTCAAAATTATGGTCCGTTTTTGGGTCCGTATTATAGTACGGCACCTACTATTTAGGGTACCAAGAAAGGAGCCCTAATTTTGACAACCACCCATTCGAGGTTCCAGCTGATGACAGGAGAGTTTCCAAAAATAGGGGCGCCTAGTATAGTACCCTTAACTAGTAAGATCCTTATTACAAGGACCCCAAAATAAGGTCCCCCTAATTCTCGGAAACTCCGATAAGGGTTTAGGGTTTAAGGTCGTCTTTTTGGGGTTTGGGGTGGAGTTTGGTAGAGTTTAATATAGTCTAACATAGGTTTCACAGGAAGCCAGCTGTGGCCTGTGAAAAGCCCTGAACCCCGAAGTTCGGAGTTGGAAGCCGATGATTTGGGAATGATCAGTTCGGTTGAAAGTTCAGGATCCCGTGTCGAAGGCTTCGCTGGCCGATTCTATCTAAGAGAAGATTCTTTTCGGAGGGGTCCTCTTGCCTGTGTAAGCTTGTAGACAAGGAGGCCTATCATGGGAAGCATAATTCTTTTCCAGGGCCCCGTTGAGAAGTAGTAGCCGTAGCAGGGAAGTGGACGAGAACCAGGTTCCCACTTCGGATGTCCGGATTCCGTGGGTCAACGAAGCTGAAGCCTGCAAAATCCTCACGATGCACTGAGGGGTTTACGACAAAGACGGCGTTGGTCTGGTCTTAGTTGCCCTGGTGGCCCCTGGGGCCATGTGGCGCGAGAAGAGCCGCCTTTTGGATGGAAGTGTGCAGAAATCCGGACCTTCCTATATTCCCTTTAAGGGTTTCTTGAAGGCTTCCTTTGAGGGGTTCCTTTAAGGTCCTTTTGTTGTTTGGAGGGGTGCCAGGCAGACCGGATTTCTTTTTGATCACAAGGGGCTGATACGATTCGGCATGAAGGCTTCGTACTGTCCCTGAAGGAATGTCTCTCAATCCAGGTTTATGAGAGACACTTTTGGAAATAGTCTGCGGTTCATGCACGTTTTGGGGCACGGTGCCAGTGACAAGGCAACGACCACAGTTCCATGGCTTCCATGGTTGGGATTCCGTACCTTACGAATGTTACGAGAAGTTGTTCTGCTTAGGCTCCTGTCATAGGACCATGGACAATGGAGTGATCTGCGATGTTAGGGTTCCAAGGGGGTCCTAGCAACTCTGAGAACCAGACATCTGCCCAATGTAGTCCGTCAGTGCAATATGGGTGCATAGCGAGATGGAGAAAGGAACCTTTATACTTTACAAGTATACTGCAGTCTGGGGTTGTCAGTTTTAAGCGGGATAAGCAGATTTATGATCGTTTGATCTTCGTACCCCTATATCTAAACTCTAAACGTGCCGTTGGCTATTCCCTTGGAGCTTGTATGATGTTATTGCCTCGCCTTTGATTTTGGGGGCTCTTCCTCCGATTCCTCCAGTCATTTTGGTGATCTCTGAGGCGATGAGACGCAACAGCAGTGGCTTGGCTGGGCACGAAACTTGTCCTCCGACAGACAATGCTATGTATCATAACATGTAAAAAATGCTAATACAGTATAATATACACTGGTATACTAAGTACAAGTCAGTCTTGCACAGCACTACTTGCATAGAATACATGGTTGCGTTTAGAGTTTACGGTTGCCGCTGGACTCTAGCCCTAAACCTCCATACAGCCCCAGTCTCAGCCAGGGATGTGCGCAGGCGCTGCCCAGTTAAGATACAGGGTCCGAAATATGTCAGACACGGCTTGATGTCTGAAGCTTAAAGCCTCTGTAGGGCCTACAGTAGGGTCGAGCACAATCACCGCAAGGAAGTTCTGGGACTGTACAGTAGTCCCGGCCAAGCCTCAAAGCGCTTTCAGCAGATCGCTGGGCTATCTACGCAGTGTCAGGAACGTCCGAAAATCTTATTCCCTTAACAAGTGGTCGATAATCGAAGAATCAGGCTCTGTAAGACTCCGCCCTCAGTCATGCCTTGCACCCCACTCCGGCGCAAGTGAACCCCGGTCTTGCAACTGTCAGACAGGATCTCACGCTGGCACTTCCCACCGAGACCAAAGGCCCGCTGGGCAGAATGCCGTGATACGCCTTTCCCACTTAACCCTTTCGGTGCAGTCTCGTAATGCATTCAATTCAAGAGAGGCAGCCTGTCGAACCGCCCCACCCGTCCCCAAACTATGTGTGCAGTATCATGTGGAGAAGTACCCGAAAATGGGTTCTTCGGTAGCGGCCCTGGACTGCACACTGCGGTCTGAGTTTGGGGCTGTTAGATATACGCCCTCCACTGGCAGCCACAGACCCGCACACTTTTGATGCAGTAAGCGCCTCTAATTGGTCCCTTCGAATACTGGTGGCCAGTCAGCGCAAGATGCCCGAAGGGTTTGTGATGCCTAGGGGAGCGTCCCTGAACTGATCAATCCCCAAATAATAAAACGGGCGTTGGAGTGGAGGGTTCAGGGATTGGGGGGTGTAGGCCCCCTCCCCGTCCCCGGAGCTATAGAATGCCGAAATCAGATTGTGGACCCTGAAGTTTGCACGAGGCTCCCATGTTATGTCATCCTCCGCTGGGCTTAAGTAAAGCCCCTTGAGACTCGAAAGCTCCCGAATTAGTCTGAATTCCCAATCCTTGCAAGGCCTGAAACCCTGTAAACACTACTGGGGGGGGGGTGTAGATCCTAAAGCCCAAACCCTGTAAGTATGCTAGGTCTTAAATCTTAACGTCCTAATTTAAGGCCCTAGGCCCGAAGCCCTCGTAAGCCAAGTAGGTCCGTTTGTGTTGAAGGGTGGAGGGGTTTCAGGAGGGGCAACGCCGTGGCGGATGGGTCTACCACCGAGGGTACTGGCAGGCTCCGGCTTTGGTTTTGTTCGTTCCAGGTGGTTACTTAAGTTTGAAGTGACTGTTTCTTCAGTTTGAAGTTATTTGAAGTTCAGAGTTTAGAAGAAACTAGGGGGACCGAGGGCTTGCAGATTCTGCAAGTTTCGGGAGGCGTTGGCCGTTGGCTTCCAGATTCAGGTGTAGGGTAAAGCTTATATAGAGGGTTGAAGATTTAAGAACTGTTTCAGGAGGTTCGGTGCTGTAGGATTTCAGGCGCAATTTAGACATTTAGGGCGTGAAGCCACTGCCCCCCATGGCCTAACGACCCTTCCATGGTGCAAATTGCAGTTGAGTCGGGCTTGCGATCCACGCTCACAGACGGTTTAGTAAGTGCTTACAAGTGGGTTTCCACCGTTGAACACAAGGGCATGCTCCTGCCCTTCAGAGTGCATAGGCTTTTCAAAAAACCTATACAAAACCTATGTTTTTTTAAATGAACTTATAAGCCTTAGACCGGCCCTAGACTGGGCCGAACCTAGGCTGCCAGAGAGCCTGAGGCCCGTAAAAACTAAAGCCTCATGGCAGCAAAGGGAGAAGTTGTTGAGGCTTCTTTTGCAACAGCCTGCTGGTCTTGGCCGTAAGCGAGCCCAGACCTAAAGCCAGCAGTTTAGGAGATGTTTAGGCTAGTCAGTGTGGAGAGACCTCTGGCGACCTTGCCCTTCCCGAAACTGGACAACAGCTGATGACTTCCAAGCGGTAGGCTGTAGGTTCCAAAGTCGCAGATAGGCCCTGGCCTGCGCCGTAGTAGAACCCTCGGTTTTGAGCTTGCGCAGCTCCTGTGGAAGGTGGCCGATGGCAATGGCTCTGGGAAGCAGCGCCTGGGCTCACAAGGGCAGACCGGAGCAACGCATGCCGAAACTAAGCGAGTTCCGCCACGAAAACTTATGATACTTATGAGTTCGCAAAGCCTTATCGAATGCTGCATTGCGACGGCCGGGGTTTGGAGAGCGCAGCATGACACACCAGAACCCGGGAGTTGAGATCACCTCGACGAAGCCCCACTCGAGCAATCTAGGAGTCAGCCTAGCACACGGAGTCATGGATCCGACACCCAGACACCGAAACCTGCTCAGAAGCCTGACAGAGCAGACTTGTTGAGAAGCCGGTCACACCTGAGAGAAATAATAAGCATTATGGCCATTATGGTGATTAGCAGTATAGTAATTATCGCTATTATTGTTGTTAGTACTTTTGTTATTAGTGGTGTTGGTTTAAACTTGCTTAGTTTAGCAGGGTAGATGATCGTGAACTTCTTTCTTAGCCCCTCTGAATCAAAGTCGAACTGATGGTTGGACAGGTGCTCCACGTAAGACCCTCGAGAAGTATTTGGAGGTTTATAGTTTATGGTTTATGTTTAGTTTTCGTGGGGTTATAAATAGTCAAAAGTCCCCTACTATGGGTTATAAGAACGGTTACCCGACGTATAACCCCACTTATCACTACCCATGAACCTCCCAGTAGAAGAGTTACGGTACCCCAGTCAACAAATAGACTGGGTGATTCCTCCGGAGGGACATATGCAAAAGATCTAAGTCACAAAAAGACACATGCATGAGACCATTTCAATATCCGAGAGGTCTAGGACGGAGAAGCAAGTATTCCACAAGAGTTGGACGGCACCTCCGCCTTTTAGTCACAACCTCGCCTCAAAGCTGCTGCCTGGGCTGCGGTCCATGCTTGTTTTCGGCATCGTTGCAGGTGTAGCCTGAAACTCAGGACTAGAACAACCCTCAACCTCGAGCTGCCGGGTTTAGAAATCGATGTCAATGGGAGTCTCCGAAAATTAGGGGTACCTGAGTTTGGTGTCCTTATAACAAGGATCCCACTCGTACCATTCAGGGTACTATATCAGGGTCCCCTATTTTCGGAAACCCCCATATAGAAAATGGAGAATAGTAGTACCACGACAAGCCATGATAATCACAATAATTATAAGGACCCCCCCCCCGAATAAGGTACCCCCAATTTTGGGAAACTCCCATGTGGGTGAAACGGTTGATGATATAAATCCTGCATTACCTTACGGACCCTAAACTATGGGAATTATGGTATATTCCTTATAATGGGTAATGCAGGATTTATATCCCTAAACCCTAAAACCCCTAAAGATCCCTTAAAGGTACCCTTATAGATCCCTTTAAAGGAACCCTAGGATTTATATCATCAACCGAAGGTCTGCTTCGGACGACTGGGACATGGCTTTTGCACCGGACAGCTGCGCTCTCTACGACGGCGTGCCATGGTGAAGCTGGGAGTTGTGGAGGAGACTGATACCTTATTAGGGTGTCTCTATATACATAATATATATATATATGTATATGTATATATATATATATATATTTATTTATTTATTTATTTATTTATTTATTTATTTATATGTGTGTGTGATTATGAGTATCCTGCTGTTGGGGTGTTCTTTTCGGGTTCCTCGGTCTCTGCAACATACCATGTGTGGATGCGCGGGAAGGTCCTGGACCTGACCTTATATAGCCTGAGCTGCATCCGGAAATCCAAGCTCCTTCGAGCAGGAGCTTGTTTGGGTTCATGCAAAAAAGCGAAGCCGAAGCATCTACCAAAATTCTCCCTTAGGACTCCTCACTATACAAATTCTACAAAGGGGCCCAAAACCCTATTCTAATTATTGAGGCCGCTACAGTAAGCTCAGGACTTGTCGACCTCTATCCAGGTTATTTCGTTAAACAGCACGCAGGGTCCTTGCGCCAGAGATTCTGCACGCCCTCTTCATTATTATTTGGCATCCTGACTTTGCGGTCCCGGCATCGATTCAATGAATCCCTGACCCTAACTCTAGTGTTGGTACCCAAGGCCATGCAGACTAATGCTACTCTGTCGATTTAGCAGAGGAGCCGAGATAGGGACAGAGAGCTTAGCTTTCAGTGCAAAGGCGAAGCCGAGAGCGAATGGTGGAAGAGCGGCCTTTGAAACTCGCAGCAGTCTTGCTTTCATTGAAATTCGGATCTGAGCCTCTTCCTAAAACCTAGTTTGCCGGTTTACTCAATAGCCCCTTGTGGCTCAGGCCTACAACAGCCGCCTCTTCGGCACTGGCACAAAAGTTCCTTGGCTCTTGCTGCAGCGGAAGTGATAGCCGCAAGATCGGAAAGTGTTTCGAGTGAGATACTGTAGGGGGCAAGGGGTCACGGCGTGATACATACACATGCTGCTGGTCCATTGGATTGAGATGCAGGAGGCGCGTCATGACCCTTTGTGCGGACGGTGTTCGATCAAGACTGTACTTCACATGGCTCCAGATGCGCACAGCAGCAGCAACGGGACGGCGGACTGACTGTAAGACTGCTGCCGTCAGCATTTACATGTTCGTCTTGCCTATAACCCCTGCAACAAACATCAGCAAAGAGTCATGCGAGCTACGGCCAGGTTTTTGCAACACCTTCCTGAGCACTCTGAGGTCTCCGAGGAACTGGTCTTGGCGTCAGTGGATCAGTTGCTGCCGCTGCTGCTGCTGCCTTTTCGTCGTCGCCGCTCGGGCTTTATTGCGTTTTGGAAGGCCCGAGACTCGAGATCTTAACACGGTGCCACTTTACACAGGCTTGTTGTGTAGGGCCTGTCAGCCGGATCCTATACGACAAAAAGAAGCTCTGACTGTACCTTAAGCCCTGGGACATCCCTGCCCAGCATGTTTGGGTGCCGTAGAACTGGCCGGGCGGTGTGAATCAACTCCTTGATGTTGCTCTTTGGTCCTCTTGTGGGCATCATCGAGTAAACCTTAGACGTATAAAAAGTCTTGCCTCAGCAGAAAGGCGATTCTCAGCTCAGAGTGGCATGCAGCCGTGCAGCATCTCACAGATTTTAAACGTGATCGGCGGCTGCGCTCGCTGAGGTGACTCGGAGAGCATCCCTGCCACACCTATGCCGAAACTGCCTGCTCAAAATCTTCCAGGACAGCTTGATGCACAAGAAGTTTAGTTTAGTACTTTGGGTTCCGTGTTTAGGAATTCACGGGATCATTTGCGAGACTAAGGCATTTAGTTTAAACGGTCCCATGTTCGCCGCCCCAATGTAAAGGATGCAAGGTGACCAGAAGCAGCAAAGGCCAAACCTTGGAAACAAGGAGCTGCACAACTCCTGAGCGGATATGATTCAGAGGCGGTGGGTGTAAGCTTCTTTGGCTTCGGAGCAAAAGCCTTTGGTCTCTTAAGCCCCGAAGCCCCAAAAAAACCCTGACTGCCGCAAACCTTGAGAAACCTACAAAACCCTAAACCGTAAACCCTCAACCACTAAACTAAGAGAAACCCTGAGCCCTAAAACTAAAGCCCTGCAGCCTCCAATCCTGAGCTTTCGGGGACTGCACCCCAAACTTCGAAGGCGGGCGACGTCGACGGACCCTCTGTGGCTCGAGAGTCTATGAGTGGCTGGGCCGTGGGGGTTTTCAGGGGGTTTTTAGGGCGGCTAGGGAGTATGGGTCGGAAGAAAGGGTGGTGCAAAGATATCTGAAGTTGAAGGAGTGCCGTTGCCCCCGCAAACTCGACAGCTGCTACATCGCCTTCCTCCATCATGTGCAGCTAAAGAAGGGTGAAAGCCTGCTGTGGGCTGCTAAAGACTCACGACGTTCGTTTGGACAGGTAGAAGTATCGAGTGTACCTCTGTATCCACGTGTTTGTGCACACGCAGACATTTGTCCAAGTCATGTTGTACCGTATCCCATGGGTGCAAATGCCAAGGTATCCGTCTGATCCCCTGCCCGATCGTTTCCTGCTGTGCCAAAAAATCGTGGCAGCTGCGACGCCTTCTGACGAGCTTTGGGCGCCGCGGCTGCTGGAGGGTTTTGGGCTTGGGGTATTGAAGAGCTTTGACAGAACCGCTGTTGGAGTTTAGAGTGGTGGGTTCTCTTTGTATTTTCACGCAAGAGTCGTGACTTGGGGGTCTTCCAACCCTTAGGGTTTGGCCTTGAGGGTTTAGGGTTTAGGCCTTGAGTGTGGGTCGTAGACGGTTCAAGGCTTAGGGTTTAGGGTTAAGGTTGCTGGTGTTTCAGATTTTCAAAGGGGAAAAGGAGGGACCCTTAGTGGGGACCCCTATGTATATACCCTTAATATAGCCATTATATACCCATTATATAGCCCATTATAGGGTGGGGGTCCCCATTAAGGGTCCCTCCTTTTCCCGTAAACCCTAAACCATAAACCCTTATAGATCCCCTTAAAGGAACCCTAAGAGCCCTTAATTAAGGGTCCCTCCTTTTGCCCCTTTGAGATTTGGGAGAGCCACGCCCCCGTTTTTGTGAAAGCCCCAGACAACCCGGCGCCTTGAAGTTGAGGATCCAAAGTTCCTCGGGTTTCCGTAAAGGCTGCTGCTTTCAAGGGGCTCTATAAGGATTACGTATAATTATAAGGGGCATTTTGAGGGTTCCCTTTTAAAGGGCTCTATAAGGATTACGTATAATTATAAGGGGCATTACAAGGGTGTCGGTCGCGAGGTTCGAAGCCTCGGGCTCAGCTTAGGAAAGCACGATGTGCGTGCCCCCGGAGCTAGAAGCCTTGCCTTAACCCCAAATAACCTACCTTTTCAAGGACTGATATAACGAACTCATATATGAGGGAGCCTTACAAAGTAGACCTACCACTCTGTGCCATCAACTCCAATCTGTTGCGTGCAAGTCGGAGAGCGGAAGCTCTAACATCGTTTGAGCGGTTACATACATATAGGGGCCTAACTTACTACCAGGGTTCCCTCTAAAGGGTTCCTGAAAAGGGGTACTATAAAGGGAGCAGTGTCGCGATTCCAAGTGTCACACCGACCTTGCACCGAGAACCTCGCCTGGCTTGTGCGAGTTGTGAGAACGTAAAAGGGATACTCTACCGGTTCTTTAAGGGATTTAGGGATGGAGGGGCCCGAATAATCACCAACACTATTTTGGGGTTCCTTATCAACTATAACTATAGTATAGTGAGCCCCAAAACCCTATTCTAACTGTTCAGGCCCATTGATTGCATAGCAGACCATTCTTATTGGACTCCGATGCAAAGCCTGGTGCCCATGGCCCGAGTCTAGTTCCGCGGGTTTAGGGTTTAGTTTCTATAAACCCCCGAACTCTGAACCCCAAGCCCTAAACCGCCTAAACCCTCCGAGTTGTGAGAGCCTAAACCGCCTAAACCCTAAACCCTTACTCTGAACATCGGACCACCCAGCGAGCTCGCAGGCGATCCATGTAGACGACCCTTGCATTGGCGGCCACTGGCCTGAGAGCAGAGATGTGATATTGGGGCTATCTAAAGGAACCGCCATGATAATTGTTAAGGCCTCTTTGATATAGACAAACAAGGGAGGGTTTATAGCGGTATAGGTTATGAACATACCGAGGCCTAGCCCAAGCAGCCGTAAGCAGCCGTTTGTTTGCTTATTGGCGGCATATACCCACATACCACACATCATGTATCGACAGTATCGTTAAGTGCGGGGTTATGCTGTTGATTAACACTAAGGGGGGTTTTAGTGCTGTTCTTGGCGCACTCTCCTTACAGCAAATACCTATGCATTCAGCTCATACCACTATCTGATCCCGATACCCCTACACCTGGCAATCCCAAAACCGGCTTCCAACGCTTTTGAAGTGATGCCCGGGCAATACTCTCGCTTCGGAAAGAAGTGCTCAACGTTATCGTATCCCACGGCACGAGACCCGAAAGCACCAGCCAAAGCACTTTAAGGCCATAGCGGTAGCTGCCTTGTGGTTCATATGCTCGGTCACACTTGTCCCGGGAAGGGCGGTATGGCTGTAAAGTAGTCACGCGAGCTGAAGCAAGAAAAAGGCCCCGGACGCTAAGCCTTCGTGGCATGTGTGGCTTGGCACAGCGTCCAGACATCTCGTTACAAGCAGGTGCCGCCAAGTTGCCAGCGCAAGAAGAAAGTGCCCAACCCGCGTCCCGAGCCTTAAAGGTCTTAAACTAGAAGCCCTATCACAGAGTGTACCAAAAATTGCGCATAAGCCATCGTAAACCCTAAAGCCCTCAACTCCAGGAGTTTGCCATTTTGCCAAAGCTTGAAGAAGTCGAGGTGAGAGGAGCTATCGGCCAGCCTTGCAGCTGGGCAGAAGTCTTCTGGGGCGATAGGTGTTGGCGTTTCGGGTTTGGGGTGCTGGAGTAAGTGTTGAACTAGGTTTGGGTTTGGGGCTTTAGGGCTCTAAGGTTTAGTGTTGCAACGTTCCTATACGCATTAGTGTGCAGGCCCTGAGGTAAGATAAGGTGTTCGACGGGGTCGCACTGTAGGCGATTGAGTTAAATGCCCTAAACCCCCTGCGAGTGTGTTTTTTTCTGTCCGGTTGAAGGGGTGATTTCAAGGCGCCATGAGTTTCGACATGACAAAGAGAAATAGCCAGGTTGTCCCAGCTGGTGTCCGAACAGGGAACAACACCCGAAGCTGGCGGGTACTACCCCTTGGTTGAGAATACACCTTACAATTTAAACCAGAATATGTATTAAAAGGCCCAGATAAATTTTTAGGTACATTCCTTGATTCAGCGCTTCCGGAGCACCAAAGGAAACCCCCTGTGAATTGAGGCATGTGCTTTTCCTGGTGGATGAGGCGCTTGCTTCATCGGAGTTCAAGAAGGAGGCTCAAGCTGGGTCTTGTTGGTGGTGGTTTTAGGGTTTCAGGGTTTAGGATTCAGCCCGTGACTCAAAAAAAGGGTTTGGGATTCAAGAGTTCAGATAGGCCTGGATGCAAAAGGGTTCAAGGGTTTAAGGGTTTAGGAGCTTAAGGGTTTACGGTGTGAGACTTGTTGGCCGTGGCCTTGGGATTTCGCACACGGGCTTGGGCATATTCGGAAGCATCACTGTCACTGGCGCCGCGTGTCTTTTGCTGTGGCGACGTTCTTTTCCAGTTTGCTTGCCAGAATACTTATCTATTATTGCAAATGAATGTGGTCATGACTTCCCAAAGCGGGGGCTCGTGCCTTTTTCACAGGGTTTCGGACAGTTCAGTGAAAGGTTGAAGTCCTCCACCCAGAGACTCCAATATCCCTTAATCAAGGAATATACTAGGACTACTAGGATCCCTCATGATTTTCAGGTATACTCCTTAATTAAGGGGTATTGGAGTCTCTGGGTATTCTCTTTCTGCGGGAGGCTCAAGCTGACACTGCAAGATGTCAGGCCCAACATGCACGTTCCGAGTTACTTCGACGACTCCTCCCAGCAGCACCGTGATCATATGTTTGGGTCATGGACGGTCCTATGGTCGTAGTGGGGTTCCATTCTTTTGGGATGTGGTTTCTCGCGACCCCAAACCCCTAAACCCCTAAACCCAAACCCCTAAACCCTAAACCTGATAAACTTTTCTGAACCCTACAAACCTAAACCCCCAGCAACCGCTTCAAAAGCGCAGAGGTTCCAATATTGGTGGAGACGCTGGCGGGGCAACTTCAGGCCTTCCAAGCCGAAGATTCCCTAAAGGTTTAAGTTTTCCGGGCTCAAAACAGGGAGTTGAGAGTTTTAACCATCGGCCTTCCTTAAAGGTTTCGTTGTTTCGGGCTAAGTACATGGCAGTTACAGTAGTTATACTTTCAACCTAGCCTTCCTTACGACTATACAGCCGCCCCTCGAAGCAAAGGTCTCGGACTTCGGTGACTCGGGAGTGGTTTTGAAGTCAGAACTTTCCTGTTATGACTTGGGTTTTGAAGAGACTTTGCAGGGTTGAGGCTTGGGGTCTCAGGGGTTCGGGCATCGTGCAAGACCCGCTCCACTGTGGCGGCTTAAAGAGTGACCTTAAAGAGTTGCAGGTAGGTGCTTGCGTCAAAGACTGTCGTCGTTTGCTCCAGAATTCTGATGCGCTAGATAGGTCACACACCTCGTAGCACAGAAGAAGTCAAGTTCGCACATCAAAGGTCAATAGAGTTCTTGAGCTGTAGTGGTCGGTCTGCAGTGACAGCCTACTGGCATTGCAGATTCGATGGTTGTCCACTTTGTTGCTGCTGTGCGAGTTCTTGTCCTTACCCCTGCATTTCTAAAGGTTTTGAGCTGTGGTAAAGCTTTCTCAACAGACTTGGCAACCCCCCACCCATGATGTTGTGTTCCGCAGCCTTGGGCCAAGGGCATCACATCGCTGGTTATGTTCAACTCCGCCGGCGTGGACTCCAGCCTTTGTACCTTGCCAGAGCTCCAGGATGTACGACCGATAAAGAAGAAGGGCCCTAAACGATAAGTCTTCCGAGTGTGCTTTGCAGACCTTGCCTGTTCTCCTCCGGGGTCGAGACCAAAAAACGAACCAATTAGCATCCACACCCTGTCCCTAAGTTGACACTCCGTTTTTTCGGTAAAAGAATTCTCGCAAGCCTGCCTTGGTAAATGTGGCTTGCGGATGTCGGGCTGAACCCTAAACCCGACACCCTTTGCTTTAATAGTTCGTATTCGAGACTTATTTTCTTAGTGACAACCAAAAATATGCAAAGAAAGCAAGTATATCCGTGATGTCGTAATGATTGTGGTTCTTTTTTTGATTTCAAGGCTTGGTACATGGGTGGTTGTCAAAATTAGGGTCCCTTTTTCGGTCCCTATTATAGTACAGCACCTATTATTCAGGGTACCCAAAAAGACCACTCACATCAGGCCTCCCCTGGGATGCGTCGAATTCGTTGCCTGCGCGCTTCGGCGACCGCTGGGCAAAAGCCGGCGCACGCGGCGGAGGCGGAGCTGACGAGGGCTTTCAGGTTTTAGGGTTTAGGGTTTAGAGACTGAGTGCCCTAGAGAGAGAGAGAGAGAGAGAGAGAGAGAGAGAGAGAGAGAGAGAGAGAGAGGAGAGAGGAGAGAGAGAGAGAGAGAGGGTTTAGAGACTTCAAGAGGCCTGGATGGGTTTAAGGTATATGACGTTTCTGTAGGGGTTCTGGGCCGTTAGGGTGATAAGTTCAGGGGACCTGGCCCGGCGACGGCTTTGTCCGTTGCCCCTCGCTTCTTATTATTCTTATGCATACCGGGTGAGACTTTCCAACTACGACCAATTGTTTGAAAATCAAAACCCTGAACCCCTAAACCCTAAACCGGCGCAGTGCGAGAAGCCCAAAATCTCAGGCTCAATGCCCAGCCGCAAGACCGGAAGCATACAATCCCTGTCAGCAGCCCTGAAGTTTGAACCACAGAGACTTTGGGTGTAGGCTTTGGGTCTTAAACTTGAGCCCATGCCAGGGTGCCGTCGATGGGATGTGAGGTTGAGCATTTCACTAACTTACCAACTTCCCCTGAACCCAGAAGCAAGCCAGTGAGCCTAAGCCGCCCAAGAAAAAGACCTCGAGACCCCACATTTTGCTGATTCAGGGCCCCTGTACGGACGCTCACTTTCAGTTATGACGACTTGAAAGGCCCTGCAGCTTCGAAGGACCGAAGATGAAACCGAAGGCCCATAAGCACCAGATCCGGATTTGGGGTTGATCCAAATCCCTGCTACAGGGGCCTCAATAATTACCTACAGTAGAGGCAAAAAAGTTGGAAACCCCATAGCCTCAATCCTTAAGAATAAAGTAGAGGGAATCCCAGCACTATTTAGCCTTAACCCGGTTTCCAACTTTATGGGGTTTACTGTATACTGTGTTGAGGTTCCTTATCATAGTTATAGGATAACACACCCGAAAACCCTATTCTAATTGGTAAGGCCCCTATATTCGACTTTGATCGCTGGGAACCTGAACTCACGGAGGTAATCTGGCTGCCGGGATTCTCTATGCGTCGGACTCGATGATTTCCAAGCTCGCCAAGGACCGTGGGGGCTTGAGGGCAGGCAAGGAAGCACTGGTTTGCGGACGGCTCCGGTGTGGTGGACCGAGAGGTTCTTAGTCTTGCTGTCGCTTGATGGGATCTTTGTTTTCGCTTTGATGCCCTCGCCGGGGATGTTTGGTTTAGGACGCCTTGGTACGCTGTTTGGGGGTCAGGTCTTGCTGCATGTGGCATGCCTGAGCAACAGGATAGCTGCCAGGAGATCTTTCGATTATCTTATCTTCAATGGCCAACTCTACCAACGACAATCCAGCTTTGAATTGCAAACCCGAAAGAAGAAACCAACGACAAGGAGGGTCCCTAAAACAGAACCTGTTTGGGTTGTAGTCCGGCCCGCACCACAGTCCTCCCGCCCTGGTATCTACAGGCAGTACCTTCACACCCAAAGCCCGCGGCCGTTAGCTTTCTGGCAATCTACTAACCCATAACTCCAACACTCAACCCCTCAAGCCAACCCCTTCCGATCCGACAGCCCCATCGTGTCCTAAACCCTAAACTACAGCCCTAAATCCGCTCCGGCTCCTTAAGCCTGAGATCCTAAGTTCAATAAGAGGAAGGCTTGTAAACTCTAAACCCTGATACCCTACGGGTGCGATCTGCCGTCAGTAGACCTTTAAATTTAGGTCCTGAAACTAGTATGATCGGAAATGCATCGGATATTTCAGGGGGGACGAGTTGCTTCAAGTCGGTGGGCTGTGAGTGGTATTGGCAAAAACTGTCGTGTTGCAACTCAAAACCCGCGTATTTGCAGTTGCACTCAACAGACCTCGAGCCATATGCCTCGCCTGGATAGTCCGAGCGTGAGCGCCGAAACCGTAATTCCTTAAACCCTCCGGCTTTGTGCGACGCGACACACGAGGCAAAGCATCCCAAACCCCTAAATCCTAACTACTATTTGCTTAAGAACCCCCCAAAAAATAAAAATGATAATCCCTATATTATCCCTATAAGGAATATATTTTTTATTTTTTGGGGGTTCTTAAGGCTAAACCCTAGACAGAGAGACCTCGTCTGGTGAGTCCGAGTTGCGAGAGTGAAAACCATAGATTCTTTACCCCCAAACCCCAAACCCCAAACCGTAACGTAGAAGCCGAAGTAGTTTTCAATAGTATTCCTTAAGGTTCCTTTTTGCTATTCAGTTTTAGTTATCAAGTACCCTAAAACCCTAAACTTCTAAAGCCCTAAACTCCTAAACCCCTAAACCCCTAAACCGTAAACCCGAAACTGGTGGTGCAGTATGAGGGTTTGTTAATGTGCACCTGGTGAATATGCCGGGTATGTTGCCAAAGTGCGTGATGGGACTGGGAATCCTCGCCAAGGCTTGTCCGAGAGTGAGTGCCGAAACCCTAAAGCCCTAAACCCTAAAACATAAACCTACACTCTCAGACCTTTCGGGGCACTTTAGAAAAGGAGCTCCAACAAAAAAAGAGCTACACCCTAAACCCCCAGAAGCCCTAAACCTCTAAAAGCCTTAAATCTCTAAACGTCATAAACCTCTAAACCTACATGGGAGTTTCTGAAAATAGGGGGACCCTAGTATATGTAGTACCCTGAATAGTAGGATCCTTGTAATAAGAATCCCAAAACAGGGTACCCCTCATTTGCGGAAGCCACATTAGCCGTACAGGAGACCGAGGCAGAGCTCCTCTCCGCCGGCGCCCCCTGGCGAAGGCACCGCGGGCCCTCCTTCGGGCGATCCCCAGGTTCCTTTTAAGGGTTCCGCTAAGGGTTCCTTTAAGGATTCCTTTTGAGGGTTCCTTTTAAGGGTTCCTTCTAAGGATTCCTTTAAGGGTTCCTTTTGAGGGTTCCTTTAAAGGGTTCCTTTTAAGGGTTCCTTTAAGGGTTCCTTTTGAGGGTTCCTTTAAAGGTTCCTTTAAGGATTCCTTTAAGGGTTCCTTTTGAGGGTTCCTTTAAAGGTTCCTTTAAAGGGTTCCTTTACAGGATTCAATAGGGTTTCGGGCTTCCTTAGAGGGTGCAAGACGGGTAGTATAAGGTTTGGGGATCTTTGGGGCCATAAGGTTTAGGATTTTGCGCTCTAGGGCTTACACTGTTCTGGAATCCAAATGTCCGCACTTCGTTCTGGGGATTCGGGGGCTTAGGGTTTAGAGTCTATAAGGCTTATGGCAGTCATGTGTACCTGCTTCTCGGGCTTCCCGTCCTCGCGTTGAGCCATCGGCGAGGCACATTCTCAGCATGTTCCAAAAGCCTGCAGTCACCTGGGTACCTTCCTACAATCTCCCCCCGCCCCACCCCTACTCTAAGCATTAACCATCCCTCAACGATCCTTAAAGGAACCCTCCCCGCTCCAAGTATTAACCGATCCTTACAGGAACCCTTCATGGGGCTTTCTGCCGTCTCATACACTCCTCAATTGCAGGCTCCGCGCTGGCATGGAAATCAACACCACATCTGGTGAAGGTGCCCGTGACACCCTAGGAAGCTTGAACAAGGTTCTATGCCGTCTTCAGACTAGCCCGGCATAGCCTCATAGTCCCTATATGTACAAGTATACTTGAAGGGGCGGGGGTGTTAGTAATTGTATATGCAGGTTGTTAATTGTTTGGCACAGTTAGCAAATGACTTATATGAGATGTGTAAGTGTAGTTATTGAACTTAGCTATGTTGAAGTTAACTTGGTTAGCTAAGTGTATTTATATGAAAAAGATAAGTGAGCTAAGTGATCTAAGTTGCATGAAGCATGCTGCTCAGAGTTGCAATGCAGGGCTTTAAAGCTCGCATGCAGTTCTCTTTTTTACACCTGCGGGACTGCGACAATGGCAGCATTGCCCGAAATGCTGTAAGGGCATGTGGCCCGGATCAGTCGGGTTTGCACGAGGCCACAATCGTCGGAGACTTCATACATACAGCCATGGACATGTGTCCAGAAGGTAATGTGCGACCATACAACTTTCTCGCACATTACATGATAAGCCACTTTGCCTACGGCAGTGACCCCATCCAGATCCATCAAGGCCAAGTCGCCGACAGCCACGGTGAAGTTTCCTCCATGCACTGCCTGCCTGGCTGTGAAGACTTCACCCTGGACCCGGATCGTGTTGTGTATCTCTGTTTGCAATCTGGCAGGAGCTGGTCTCACAGGGTCGACCAAGCGAACTCCTTGGCCTGGGAGGTATACACCCTCTGCCAGACTTTCCATGTGACCATGGAGTACATCTTGTAGGATGCTCCTCTCAAAGGTTCTGCTTGTATCCAAAATTTCATTCGAAATTTTTTTGATGATTTTATGTTTTCTTTCGTGCACAAAGCAGCTGAGGAGGACCTGATGCTTGGCCAGTTGCAGCGCCAAATGGCCTGCCAAGTGACACTTTGGCACCCACCACTCATCTCCATACCGACTTTTCGCCAGATCGAGATGCCTTTTGATGAGCTGCTGCAACTCCAGGGGGGTAAATGCTGAAGGTTTGGCATTGATCGCTTGCAAAGCATCAATCACCTTGCACAAAGCCAACCAAACCTCGCAAGAGTCCCGGATATCTCTGCTGCAATTTGGCAGCACAAAGACTAGCACATAGAGTCGCAGCAGCTGCATAAAGTTCAGAGCCTCGCTGGCTCCACACTTCAAGGTTTCGCTTGGCTTTCGCTTCTGCAAGATATCCTTTGCAGCAGCACCTCGCAAACGAGAAGGCCAGGTAAAACCATTTGCGAAGCGATCAATGTCATTGTGCTTCCAGCCATGGTTGTGAAGCTCTCCAAGAAAAAACCCCGTCAGAACATTGAAGATGCCATTGACCAAATAGATATGGAAGTAATCGAACATCACACACTCGATGACCGGAGGCCCGTATGCTGCATGTGCCAGCAATCCACCCTCTTTGAAATTGAACCCCATTGCTGTTTGGAGTTGCAGGAATCTGTCTTTGTTGAGGACCGTCTCTTGCCTTCGCAAGAAGTCCATGGTGTCTCGTATAGACTCGGGTGTGTGCATCCGAAAGCAACTCATGTCGGTTTCCAGGCCGGACACCATATTGCCCCGACTCCTTTCAGCAATGCTGCTTTTGTGGTCCACGGCGTTTTGGCATTGAACACAGAATATGAGCCCACTGGCTCCTTTATTGAAAAGGGTAGCCTTAATTGCAGCTTCGTCGGATATGATGATCTTCAAGTCGGCAAAGAGCATACGTGCTTGTCCAGGGCACTGCAACACAAGACCTTTTCTGAAGTCAGGTCTCTCAAAGAACAAGGCTGCTAGCTGCCTGAAGAGCACAGTCATGCCGCCGAGATCTGCGACCAGAGAGCTGCGAATGGCACAGAGAGTGAACCAGCAATTTTCGCAACCCATTGCATGCTGTCCCAAAGGGAGCAGGCTCCAATATACAGCCTGGACCTTTCTCCGGTTCGAGTGCTTGAGTTGGTTGCCCGAAGCCAGCTCGTCGGAATACCACACCAATCCCCATGGTTGAAGAATGCTGGGGGGTGTGGCATCCATGGCCCTCTCCAGGAACTCGCCAAATGGTCGACATCGCTCTGTCGCCCAGGCAAGCATTGCAGCTGGGTTCAAGACAGGAAATTCAAACTCCACCCCAGTTTCGGCAACACAGTTGAAGTCGCATAGGATCTCGCCATAAGCAGTTTGGTAGCTCCGAGTCTTCTCATCCCGGGCCCGCTTCAGTGTTCGGCGACTCGTCCCAGATGGCAACTCGGGCAGCTCTTTGAGTTCCTGCAAGACCTGACTGAGACCTCGCTGGGATACATATGATTTCCTTCCCAAGCAGGAGAGCGAGGAGCTCCCGGCGGAAGCCATGGGGTCTGCTGGCGAGCTCTTGGCCCTGCCGAGCGACCCACTACTTTGACTGCAGATTCATACATATATATATATGTATATCTGTATAAAAGGTATACTATATATAGGAAAAGTGGATGGGAGCATGCAGGCACTGTGTACGTACCTTATATATCTATATATATATACAGAGATATGTTTTGTTTACATGTATATATGCATGCTCTTTGTTCCTGCAGGTTTCCAAGCATATTGCTGCAACGGTGCAACCCCACTGCGAGCAGTCCGGGAAACTCCAGTGCAAGGCCAAGACAACCTTTAACCATAAACCCGAAACTAAATATTTGATATATATATATATATATGTATACACAGAAACCCGAAAGCTATAGATATATAGCATCCGAGTATTGATTTGTACACATATATATACATGTATATACAGTTATATATATAGTATATACCACACCAAACCTAACCTAACACCAAACGTGATCCTGAGACACATCTTAATAAATCGCAAAGCCATATATAATATATACATGTACAACTCGAAAGCTTCAACATAGCTCTCGAAGAAGGGTCCACATTCGCACCCTCCTAAAAGGACACCCCTGTATAATATATGTGTGTGTATATATATATATATATCAATATATATTCAACCCATATATATATATATATATAAAGTATATATAGGCTCCTATATATATATATATACATCCCATATGTAAAGTATATCTATATATATATGTATATAACACATATATAATATGCCACGAAACAAAAACCCGGATCGTGCAGGCATCCTGCACCACCGCTTTTGACACCTGCCAGGATCGCTTCGGTCTTTCCCTCCGTGGCAAGCGATGCTCCCAACATTATACCTCCCGAGGTACAATGCCTTTAATGTACACACAGCCTTTGTGAAAGATGAATAATAAGGTGCATGCTTCGTGGAGGCTCGCGAACAAAACTTTGCTGATGCTGGAAGACACCAAAACACGTCAACATGCATATAGACTTAAGATGTATACACTCTGCCTGTAGCCTCCAAACTCTCACCCTATATAGGACTCCAGCTGTGCATGCTTTCAGCAGCTGTTGATGCAATCACGGGCCAAAGCACGACGGTGTGCAGCCGGGCTTTTCCCGGCACTTGGCACACCCATTGGGTCGCAGCTTGATGCGAGCCGACAAAGTCATGCATCGGACCTCTTCTCGAGTGAACTTCTGCAAAGCCTTCTGGACCTTCTTCGGCTGCGACTTCGCCTTCGCCTTGCAAGCAGCCTTGGCCTTCGCCTTGGGCTGCGACTTTGCTTTGGGCTGGGACTTCATGGCCGTGCACTTGGCCTTCGCCTTAGCCTTGGCCTTGGCTTTACCCTTGGCCTTGGCTGCAGCCTTGGGCTTCTTATTTGCCTTGTGCTTCGCCTCGTTTTCCTTGGCCTCGGCCTCGACGGTGCTGTCGAACCCTTTGTTCTCGCCCTTCCAAGCTTGAAGCATTTCATCTGCATGTTGTGCAGCACTGACAGGATCCTTGCTGGCCAGCACTCCCTGTTGCTCGGCCTGCTTTGTTCCGCTGCCCTGTGCCGGTTCATTGGTAACTGCAGGAAGCTGCAAGGCCTGCTGTTGAGCAGGCGAGGAGGCCATCGTCCCAGACGAGGCGGCAGCAGCTGGGTCGCCGAAGATTTTCAACCCAGGCAATCCATCGTTCTTCTTCGCCAATTGCTGCTGCTGGTTGAACATGTTAGCTGCCATGCTGCCCCAGAACTGCATCATACCCTGCATGGTGTGGGGCATGTGCATTGCCGGGCCTGCTGCTGGACCACCCAGCACCATGGCAGTGTTGCTCTTGTGGAAAGAGAGGCTTTTGTTACTGCCACGAAGAGCATCACGGGCCAGCACCATTGTTCCAGGCAGCTCACCTCCCAAGGCATCTGCGAAGCGATCTCGGGTGTGTGGTGGAAGATCCTCAGGCCGAGTGTACTTGGCGACGAACTCGCCACAGGAAGCATCTTTGAGCATGGTCTTCACCTTCTTCTTGAGGCACACGACAGCCGAATGGAACTCGTCGGGGCTCTGCAAGCCAGTATTGTTGCAACTCTGCAGGGTCTTGATGATGTGTCCCACAGACTGTTCTGATGGCCAGAACATCTCCAGTCGAGCCATTATCTGAGCAGTGTGAGTCAGCCTCATGACGAGGTGTCGTCGCTGGACAAAACTCTCCGGTCCTCGGCGCCCAAGAAACCCCAGAAGTTGAGAATTTCCTGGTTCTTCTTCTTGGCCTTGGCATTTGCTGGAGTGCTGCCTGCCAAGGTCTGGGAGACGGCTGCACCCAGGGCCTGCTTCTGCTCGTGTGACCAAAGGCCCTGCTGCACCAAGCTGCAGATCTCTGCACCCTCCTCGACTGTGATGTGGCTTTGACGAATCGTTCTGATGGCGACCTCGCTCTGAGCAGCCAAGAGAGAAGTCCATTGATCTCCCATGATGGGCTGCTGGGTCTGGAGGAGCTGGTTCAGCTGTCGAAGGAAAGCAGCTGCCATGGCACGGCCGGATATAGCACAGATGCTCTGCACAAAGCGAGCTGCTGTAGCCCTGCTTGCGAACACCTGTCTATAGAGCAGCAGCGGGCAGCAGGCAGATGATGGAGTGCATGTGCTTTGCAACACACAAGCAT